GTTGCCGGATCTGTTTGAAGTTCCCATTGAACTATTCTCGATTCGATATTCATACATTTAACTAGTTCTATTAATTAAATAAGCATTTTCAGAGAACTACGAAAATTCAAAACATCTCTGATCTTTCAGGCAGCAAGATGTTAGAGCAACAGAGATTGACAAAGTGGATATGCATCTGTCATTTCGTCCGGGTGACATTGTCAGAGCTGTAGTGGTATCCTTGATGCTTGAAGTGTCTCTTCTACCATTCCAATATTAATATTCTTTGTTCAAATGGTAGGTGGAAAAGTTTAGATATTCATCCAAAATTATAATTCCTAAATGCCAAAGATTTGACTTCAAGACACTTAAAATTTTCCTGCCTTAAAAGGCTTGGCCATGAAGATTAACCCTACCCAAAATTTTTTTAACTCCCTTTTTCATTTATGTTTATTTTCTTCTGTAGCAGGTTATATTGATTTTAAAATTATAACTTGCTTAAATCAGTTGGTGTTTACTTAAGACTTGAAGCTAAGAAATATTTGTACAAGCATCCACAACATTGTTATAGTTGAGAATATTGACTGGATATACAAGAGCTAGAGCAGATGTAGTTACTGGACTCCTCATGGTTAATTGTTTTCAATGAAGTGGTCGAGTAGCACAATACTCTCGATATTTTTTTTTTTTTTGAAATAAACAATACTCTCGATAAACTCCTATCGAGAGTATCAGGGGAAAAGGTGGTTACTGCTGAATATTGATGTGAGATTGGAATCATTGTTTTAATTTAGTTCTAGGGAAAGGGAGAAGTCAAAGGCTTATCAGGGAGATAATAAAGGGCTTTTGGATCAGTAAACTCGTGTATGGGGATTACCTGCTGTACTGCAACAATCGATACCCAATATGTAGTCTGAAGTACGCAGCAATAAGAAATTTCTTTACATGCAGTCTGAACTAGTCAAATTATTAAAATCATGCTTGTTGTTGTGGAAGTTTTTTTGCTAAATGTTTGTTTCCCTTCTGAATATTGTTCTGGAATTTCAGTTTTCTTGGTAAGGCATGAGGAGGTTGTATTGACATTTAAACTTTCTTTTTGATTGGTGACATTTAAATGACTTATTACAAAGAGTCTACCTTAACCAATTATTTTTCTAAGTTGTCTCTTGGAGATGCACGGGCTTATTATCTATCAACTGCAAAGAATGAACTGGGGGTTGTCTCTGCAGAAAGTGCGGCAGGTAAGATTGTCATAAACAAATGGTTTAAAATTTATCATGAAATCAACTCTCTAGACTTGTTGAATTAAACCAGCTCCGAATATAATTTGAACCTTCCTTTTGCATTTTCTTGTTCAAATTAGTGTGTTAGAGTGCTTATGTCCTCTGGTTCTAGTTATTTCAGGTAACTATTTATTTGATTTATTCTACTGCATTACAGTAGGGAAATCTGAGCATTAGTCAACTGCTGTTGGTAGAATTGTCTGATAGTGTAAAGTTTATTTAAATTCTTTTAACATAGTCAACCTAAGCCTGGACTAGAGAATTAAATGCTTACAGAAAAGAAAAAAGGACTAGCAACTATTTGAACCATGATAAGCCAGACATTTCTTATTAATGTAGTTTGATATGATTATTTAGTTTGGGGACACCTTGTCCTCATAACTAACTAAGATTATGATGAATAATCACATTCATCATTGTGGAAATCATCTCTCCTCATGATCCAAGTGCTCTGGCCATCAGTTTTCTCAAGACAATGAGGTTCTTGAGATGATTACTACCATTATGCCTGTTCTGCGTTTGAACATAAATCTGAAATTTTATAAAAACTGCTTAAGTGAGGATGTCAACGCTATTAGAACTTTTTACAATATCCATGATCTTGAACTGAGTGAGAAGTTCATGAAACATCGATGAAATCATTTATCCATTACTTAAAAAGAGCCTTTTACCATTAATGTTTCCGCTTACTTGGCATGTTGATTATCTTGTTGGAGATTCATGCTCGGTGAACTTAATGCGTTGGTGGTTTGTTGCAGGTGCAACGATGGTTCCTATAAGTTGGACAGAGATGCAGTGTCCACTGTCAGGGCAAATTGAGCAAAGAAAAGTTGCAAAGGTTGGAGCTTGACAAAAGAAACAAGCTAAGTTGTGGAAGATTACCTCCAGACTTTTTCACCTGAAGGTGTAACCATAAATCTTTTAGGCTGAGAAGAAACTGAAAGGATTTTTGTTTGGTAGGACCATCACGAGTATCTTCGAACACGAGAAATTTGTATACTTATTTCTTTTGTAGGATTAAACATAGAAACTATAAAGAGAAAGGGAGGGTGGGGGAGTTGAAACTCAGGCAAAGATTGAATTATCTTCATTCATATTGTTCTTAGTTACATGACATATATATATATATTCATATACATTTTTCAAATATTTATTTCAAAAATAAGTTTATAATCAA